AACCGTACAAAGTTTTAGGATAGGAGATCTGACGGATAAACCAGTAAATCGTAGATAATAATGGAGCTGACAGGAGACAGTGATCAACGCATAACGCCCTCTATGAAACTATAGAAAACACTTTCACCTGGCAGTTATAGCTTTATATGGTTTCTTGTTTGAACATGAAAATGAAAACAATGAGTGATAAAAAAACACATACAAAAGTGGAAACATATAAAATACCTTCCTATTTTTATGTAACAAATACATTTATGACAAGTAAAAATTACATCACTGCATCAGAAATTTAACAGCAATGGGCACGAAAGTGTCTCAACATTGATATTCGGTTGAGATTTTGCTCAAAATATTTTAAAAGATCATTAATATTTCTATAACAAATAACTGTTAACTGGACGCCAGAATCTGTGGTTCTAACAGAAACATATTGGTGCAATGAATTGTTTTTTTCAGGATTCACCTGTGCATTAAAACCCAGTCAGCATATGGATAATATTATATCAACTATTGTCTATGACTGTATACAATGGTTTGTTTGGCATTTCTAATGTGATGTAGAGCCTTATTTCACTCCATGTGTATAATTAGCAAAATTAGATTCATGATTTTAAGAGAATAATTCTAAATTGTATGATGGAATTAAACAAGTATATTGAAATTAAAGGACGCCGTATTATTGTCTATTATTGCACGATAAAAGGGCAAGCACAGTGATGTGTGCAATATTGGGCAAGACATGTTTATCACGTATAAATTGGCATTGCGAGATTCTCTACATCAAATGTAGTACTATAGACTGTATAAAAGTAAAATATACATCCAGCAATGGCTTTAGATGAAAACAGGTATGTGTGTATTACTGTTACGTGTAGAAGACCATGAACAAAGGATATGCGAACATAGGCAGGCAATTGAAATTACCTGGATATCTTAACCTGAACAGAAAATTGTGCGTTTGCTGTTTGATGCTACCCATACGGGGAAAACAAAGAATGTTAACTGATCGAACACTTTCAATATTATGCTCGTTGACTTACCTGCACGTAATGCAGTGTCAAAGCAGTGCATCGACCCTAAACGCTGCCCTGTTATCGTTGGGCAGTGCTCTAGGAATTCCCTGTCAACATCTCTCGTGGCGATAACATTCATAAGGTCAGCAAAGACATCAGAAAGTAATTACTTGACAGGGTTCAATAGTCTGTTACTAAATATGTGGTCAGCTTAAAACAATAGCCTGTATAACCATGGAATCAAACAGTCAGACAAGGCGACATTTGACAATACGCATGTGCAAGTACGCCATTTTATCTATGATGAGTTACAAATAAATAATTGTAATGTTAAAATAAAACATGCAGATTTGACTAAAGGAGCTCGCATATTTCCGCAATCTGTTAATGCGATGTTTGACAAACAAAAGCTCAAACGTGTCTTGAAATAAGTGAAACATGAAAACACTGTTAGCAGATGCAATAAACACAATTATCATGTTGATAATCCTGAAAAATATTGATTTAAATATATAATTCGGGTGTTTTGTATGGTCATGTATTACCAAATTTCTGTACTAAAATGCGTATTGTCAATTACATTTATTTGATTTCATGTTGATTGCAATCATTATTCTACATGCATTAATGATAAATGGGCGGCGTAATTGATTATGATTACGAAGTGTTGACAATTTAGCTCGTTTTAATGTTTTGCTATGGTGAATGAACAACATGTATCCGATCACAAATCACTAATATTTTATGCTCGTCCAATTCAGCGTCATTGTAATGATTAAAAGTCAAATATTTGTTTGGTCTGACACTCGTGTACACAACACCGACAATATAATGAATAATTTTAAAGAGATGTTGCTCTCGACTGCCATTTATTTATCAAATTCGATGTGTGATATGATTGTAGATATGGAAATCAGTGCATGTAGAAAGAGTAAGTTTAAGGTTTTTCGGACAGGCGTATAGCGACAAGAACCAGTCCTCCGGAATTATAATACACTTACCAGGGCACGGATTTGGCTGAAATGGGTTGTGGTTGGCATGAAATAATTGGGACACAGGTTTCAATCATGAATTTAAACAACTGAATTACAGTTTAATACTAATAAGCTACGAAATAATGCAAACATACAAAATAATTAACTGTGAAAATGTGGATAGAATGATAACATCAACATATTCAAGTTTGACCAGTATTAGTTTAAACAAATCTCGTCTATGTTCCCATGCTAAAATCTAAATCAGATATTAACAAAGCAAAACCTTCGCAAACATAATTGCTTTGAAAAAAACCTCTACTTGTTCTATTTTGAAGCACACTCATTATATAATGTTAAAAATGTGAAAAGAAATGAATGTTTTTTTTATATTAATCCTCTTAACAGCCATGTAAAACGAATGACGTTGACATCTATAAATATAAAAAATAAGAGGTTATACGAACAACCTTGCTGCCTATATGCAGTTCTTGCTATTGTGTTTAGATGAGTGTTTTGTCCCAGCATTACTAGCTAGTTTTATAAGTTAACGAATCTGTTGATAGAAAATCAACTTTACATCATTTTTGACTATTTTGATGGGTTTGACATTTTTCCTTGAGTTATTTGAACCTTTGTTCCAACAATTCTGTGCTACACTGTGTAATATAATTCACTACTCTAGCCGCATCTGTGCCACCTAATACGTATCAGTGGTGTCCTATACTTTGTCACCAACTACAACAACCAGTAGGTGCTGAGTGTACTTATGCTGTATAATATTTAGTAGTATGCACGAAGAAAGTACAGCGAAAACTTTTAAATTAATGTCAGTTTTGGAAAATGAGAAAGACAATTGAAAATAACATCACATATAATACTATTGCATATGAAACTATAAGAAAACGCCCTATTTCTTTCACACTTTTAGCTGACAGCTATAGCTTTATGTGGTTTCACGTTTAAACATGAAAATAAAAACAAAGTGTGATAATAAACCACATACAAAAGTGGAAACATATAAAATACCTCCCTATTTTTATGTAACAAATACATTTATGACAAGTAAAAAATACATCACTGCAGCAGAAATTCAACAGCAATGGGTACGAAAGTGTCTCAACATTGATATTCGGTTGAGATTTTCCTCAAAATAATTTAATAACAAATAACTGTTGACAGGACGCCAGAATTTGTAATTCTAACAACAGCATGTCGGTGCAATGAATTGTTTTTTAGGCTGCAGCCAAGTCAGCATAAATATAAAGATAGAATTATAACACTGGCATTTCGAATGTGATGTGATGTAGACGTCATCCCATCCCAATATGACGTCATCGTTATTTCTGAACGAACGACAGAGGGCGCTCACAAACACACACACATATTACACAAAAAAAGAATATTAACTTTAAAAAACATGACATTTTAAAATGGTTGAAATAGAGTATACATTTTGACAAAAAACTAGTATAATCAGTTACATAAAATATATTTTTTGTTTTTGTTTTTTGTTGATTTTATTGAAGTAATTATTCATAAATTGAAATGATATACATTTTCAAACGCTGTTAAGTATTCACACTGAGTAATATAAGAATGATATTCTTAGGAGTAATAATGAGAATTAAAAAACGACATTTTAAAAAAGGTTTAAATACATACATACATTGAAATACATAATATCGAAAAGTCAATACACCTTTTTTTCTAATCAGAATGATAATCGCTCATCTGTGATAAAAAGAAAAAAAGAGAAATAATATGAAATCGACAATTATATAAAGAGGGTATAAGTTATATATACATGTGGAATTTCAAAAGTATAAGTCATCTAGTAAAACTGCGTGGGAAAAAAATATTTGTCATAAATAGGGAGGTTGAGTCCGGTCACGTTTTCGATTACGAAGTGTTGACAATTTAGCTCGTTTTAATGTTTTGCTATGGTGAATGAACAACATGTATCCGATCACAAATCACTAATATTTTATGCTCGTCCAATTCAGCGTCATTGTAATGATTAAAAGTCAAATATTTGTTTGGTCTAACACTCGTGTACACAACGCCGACATATAATGAATAATTTTAAAGAGATGTGCTATATATTTTTGTTTTGTTTTTGTGATTTGTGAAGTAATTATCATAAATGAAATGGTATACATCTCAAACGCTGTTAAGTATTCACACTGAGTAATATAAGAATGATATTCTTAGGAGTAATAATGAGAATTAAAAAACGACATTTTAAAAAAGGTTGAAATACATACATACATTGAAATACATAATATCGAAAAGTCAATACACCTTTTTTTCTAATCAGAATGATAATCGCTCATCTGTGATAAAAAGAAAAAAAGAGAAATAATATGAAATCGACAATTATATAAAGATGGTATAAGTTATATATACATGTGGAATTTCAAAAGTATAAGTCATCTAGTAAAAAAATATTTGTCATAAATAGGGAGGTTGAGTCCGGTCACGTTTTCGATATATCTGTTCACATAAATGTCATTCAAATGTCTATCACACGTAAAAGAGTCGGCTACGGACTTCATAGGTTCCCCTCGACATCTGCGCAGCAAGTAATACAGGACGTATTGACCACACACTGTAGAGAACGGAGCTTGTAGTATTAGATGATTGTAGATCCATGTACAAACGTTTTTATCGAGAAATCTCTTAAATTCCACGTAATAAGGTTGACAACCGTACGAGTCAAAATATTCTCCGCGGTAGGGATGTTTGATACAACGCTGTGGGATACTCCAACACTTTTGCCTTAGGCAGTTGATCTCTAGCATAAACGCCGAAGAACACATTTCTAGTGTACGGATTAGTCGACAGAATATGATTCAGTTGATTCTTGTCCATCGCAGCTCGAAATCGGTCAATATGTTTCTGTTTCTGTCAATCTCGATAACGTTGTCATATTCAACATGAATCAAAACGGACACAGTCTCAGTCAATGCTTATCTGAACTGAATCTCAAGACCAATCTTTCCTTCTTGTATCAAATTGAGGTGATAATCGCTCGGTCAAATGCGAAGATTGTGTACCCTTCGGGATATTCGTCTCGAGTGATGCCGTTGCCTTGGTCTTGACCCATTTTATTTGTACCAGTAAATATAGTGTAATAAGCCATGATGCAACTTCTGCCACCAGCCGCCGTGAAGTCCGTCTTCAATGGCTTTGCGGGAACTTTCTCGCCTCTAACATTGAGGACAAGTGATGTGATACCGTAATTCTGGAAGTTGAATGGATTGGTTTCGTAGGATCCGTTGAAAGACGTATTAGAAACCAGACACGGGATGATCCTTTGGGGCAACTGACTGAGGAATATCAAATCTTTGTTTAATGACATTGTATCAGCCGGGATGGAAGCGATTTTCATAATGCATCGATGGATGGGGTATTTTGCAGTACCATGTTTCAATGCTTCGATGTGTCCCAGTTGTATGCTGGGGCTCAACTTGACTTTTCTCATCAGGAGAGTAGCGTTGGTGATGACTACTTTGAATGCGGGGTTTTCGGTTGAACTGATCAAGCAGAACTGATTTTTAGTTCGATGTAATTTCAGTCTAACTTCCACCCCATTGAGTAAATACTTTGGTTGAAAAAGTATGTCTCCGTGTATTTGTCCGATCATGTCAACCGTCTTACTCAGCGATGTAAACGTGTATCGACAATTGAGTCCCATGTTAGCGTTACCATCATCGGCTTTCGGGTTTGCGACATTCATTTTTCCAGCAGTGTCCTTCTCAAATATTGCTGCACCAATCTGCATTGATTTGCCGTCCCCTCCATAATTCGATAGCGTTTCAATCATGGCTCTGTAATAATAGGTGGGAGATGCGTCCGAAATCTGTTTTCTATTTAGGTACACTTCGATTTGATTGAAGAGGGAATGCAACCAAAAGTTTGAAGGCCCTACAGTGGCGTCCGCAGCCAAATTACTCCCATTGGCATTCGTGATTTTAGCCTCGATGTGCAAAAGCATAGAACCAATATTGATGTAGTCACTTCTGGCCGAAGGTATTACGAATTCGATCAGACCATATATTCGTGAGTGGGTTTACCTTTTTTATAACTTCTTTTTTCAATACTTTTTTCAATACTCGAATATATCCGGAGATCTTCTCCTCTACTTAGCCTTGGAAGAAATGACATGTCTCGTTGTTGTCTTCTTCCTTTTGATGGTGCGCCCTCGCCCCATTTGATAGGGTCTTCCAAATAAATTGCTCAATACTGAAGAAGTAATTTGACGACCTGCAGTCTTTGCTCTACTCGAAGCCACTTTTTTAAAGTTTTTCCCTTGTACAACGTCACCTAGAATACCCAAGCCAGCATCGAGCGCTGGTTTTGCCACTGCTTTCAGACCTTGTGTTAACAGAGGTTCAGTCGATCTCGCCAATCCAAAAAACATACTTCCGATTCCATATCCGCATTGCAGTCTTGTGCCAGAAAATGCAGATCTTCGTCCAATCTGATTCATGTAGTAATTTCTATAAACCCCCACGTGAGGAGTGTAAGGTCGATGTCTGTTCATTTTTTTGTCTTCACATTAGCGAAGGATGAGCTTTGCGAAAACGCAGCGTCACGATCACACGCCCACGTTGAAATGGCAACTTCTCCCCCGTATCAGACTTTATATCAATCTCCACAGTCTCGAATGTTGACGTTCGAATCGGAAGAAAGTATGGTTTGTCGTAAGTGTGATTGATGCTATCTCCGTGGGTTCCTTCAACATTGACTATTCTCAAGAGAGGTACGGAAACGTCACCGACCATCTTAACAGTTCGGCCAATCCACCCATCAAGATTACACAAGCTTCTTCTTCGACCACTATGGTCACTCTCCTAGACCTCGAATTATATGTCATCAGTATTTCATCTGGCAGACCTTTTTCTCGAATCACGTCTAAAATCATTTCGATCAAGTTGTAGTAGCCCAGATTCAAGTTCAGTTTTCTGTGATCTCTCAGACTGGGTGAGGCATCGTAAAAGATCCTATTTGTCGCCATGTATGACGTTGTACCATGAATTTGGGGAGTGGATGTTGGCCAATGCTACTTCCCAATTGCCATCTAACTAAAGCGTTCTTGATAGTTTGACAGTGTATTTTGTCAACATGTTGTTCAGGAACACATCAAGCTAGGCATTACCAGGGAGCGTCAAAAAGAAGTCCTGCCCCGACATGATGATCTTTGAAATGCATCAGGTCATCTTGTGTGTGAAAGGTATTTATAAACGTTCCAAGTCCCTGATCCAAGAATTAAACGAATCGTCATACCCACCCCACTTAACGAAATATTCCATAAGGCCTTTACGTTTTCTCTTGCGCAGTACTTTCTCCACAACGTACAATGCATCATCGTCCTTTTTTTCTGAAGTTCTTCTTCGTAGAAAGTACCTTCCAACATTTCACCATTGTAATCTGAAATTTTGTAAACAGGTGGTTGCGTGTTGAGGCGTCCAACAATCGTGAATACCTAATTGGTCCAATTGGACAGTTATCCTTTTTTGAAAACGTGTTTGGTTTTACTGATTCTGACTCAGTCACCGTGTTTATAAATCTTCTTCCTCCCCTTTTTCTCTGAGCTTAAATCACCATAGGATATGTATCTGACCTTTTTCTGGTTTGCGTAGGGAACAAGTGAGGGTTTGGTATTTATACTTCTGTGATGAGTATTGTTGTAAGAATGTACCATGTCATCTAATACAGGCAGATACGTCAACGTGTTGTTCTTCATGAAATATCTGAACATTTTTCCCTTGATGGTTCTGTTGTATCTCTCCACAACGCTGGCTTTAGTCTCATTGCCTGTAGTAAAGAACTTAATGTCTTCGCTCTTGAGGTAGTTTTGAAAAAGTCTGTTGGTGAATTCCTCTGTCCGTGTGCAAAACGTCGAGGCGACGCCCCTTCTTAAGTATTTTCCAAAATGCCTCGACCAAACTCCCCCCTCTCTTGTCTTTCAGAGGTACGATGAAAGCATATTTTGAAAAAACGTTGATACATGTCAATAAGAACTTGTATCTTCTGCTGTATCTGGATATCGAGGAGAGATCGCATAGATCGGCCTCCCACTGCTCGTCAACTTTGAAAACCACCACCCTCCTTCTTTTAAAGGACCGTCTAGAGGGTTTTTGCAGAGTATATGTATCCTGTTTACTCAACCACTTCTTTACGTCCGACTTGGTTATCTTTTTTTCTCTCTTTGTTTTATTTTATGGCAGCGTAAAGGGAATTCAACCCCTGTTTCTTCCAGGACTTTGGACATCGTAAACAGTTCGTCTAGGATGGTACCTGTCTTCTCATCATTATTTATGGGTGTGGTTATTTCACACATGCAGAGCAGTGATACGTTCGATAACGAAAGCAAGAGAACATGATCATCATGACTGACTACACCAAAGTGAGATTGAGGGGATGCGTTATATTTAATAGGTCACCCGAGTGTGTCAAGGATGAATGGGAGTGGAAACCACATGGGGTCCATGTCTCTGCGGAACTCTCCCCTTGAGTGTGTTGCTATGCATGTAAGACCACCGATCCAACAAGGTCTTGAGGAACATTTGGCATTTTCATAACTTCGGCAAATTCTCTCCAACCTGTTGGAGTGAGATTCTTCCGTTTATGTAAGAAATCATTGACTAAATCAATCGCGTGTGTGCCTGGCACAGATTGTTCGTCAATGATTAATTCATTGTTTTCACCCCAGTTGACCAGTTGGTTCTGTTTAACTTTCTGAAGTAGAAGCTTCGCTTTTCTCTACATGCTCTTGGGACCACTTTGTAAGACTTCGGATGTAATTTGATCTGGTACACTGTCTTTGTCGGATTGAGATTCTCGATCGTCTACAGCGACAGCGCTGGGTAATTGCTGCGTAATGGAGATTGGAATCGGTCCGTTTTTTTTCTCCCGCAACAACAAGTATTTGCGCAGAACTTGTTGGTACACTTTGACTTTTTCGTCTTCAGGCAACTCTTCCATTTGCGTTGTGTCATTCACGTCTCTATCCAGCAAAGTCAATGATTTCACCACAGGTCTCGTCATTTGAGCATTCTGGTTTTGCATGGTAGATAATAGCTCAGCAGGGACTAAAGCCATCTTCTTCACGGATTCCATCTATTTAAGACCGAGTAGGGGTGGGAGTATGCTCGAAATTAAGGGAGCGATTAAGGCGGTCAGGAAACCCCCTTTCTGAACCAGATTTTTTTTTCTTTTTTCTTGACTGGTGTTTTCTTATTGGACAGTGCTCGGAGATATTTCATGTACAATGCCAATTTTCTTCGCTGACTAGGTGATAGCTGGACGTTCCCTTTCAACACATTGAGCGAGCATTCGCACAGACACTGTATCAAGTCACTAGAGGCTCCATCAATTATCCCCTTTTGTTGTTTCGAGTTGGCCTTTTGCAATACAGAGAGAAAATCAGCATTCTTTCGCATGCGGGTTGACATGATGAAATGACTGATGGTGGAGGTAACCGTGAGGTTCTTGGGTGGAATCGGTGAATGTCTCCTGAAGAAACTAAATGTTTCCAGGGTTCATTTGCCTAGCCAGAACGTTGACTTGTGATACGTCCCTTGGAAAAAACAGAAAAATGTAGTGCGTGCTGAGACTGATGGTTCTCGATTGCCTGCCCTCATGAAAGAGAGTTTGCAAAATCAGTATCACGGATAAATTTTGATGGTGAGAACCCTTCGTGAAGAACTGGGCGATTTGTTTATCGTAACCCGTTTCTGTCATCAGATCATCTATCACCAACAAGTTTCTTTTAGACGGGTCAATTATTCTACCAATAACTGGAGGTATCCCTTCGATAAAACGAATTCGAGGCACTGTCTTCATCATTTCCAAATAGGCTGGCTGAAACTCGCCGTAGCACCAATAGATAACGTCTGGTGGTGTTTCAATCTTGCATCCATGACGATATAATAGGACCTCGCTCGTTATCGCTCGTTATGTTTTGTTTTTAGAAGCCGTATGGGAGGGTACAGTAATCATCTTGTATCACCCGTTTGTCATACACTAAACTGTATGTTTTAACTTCTCTATGGAATATTATATCTCCCTTGCGCATTATTTTTCAGGGTCTTTAACATGTAGAGGACCGCTTGTTCTCCGAACGAGCCAATTCATGGAGTCAAAATTAATTTCCAGTTGATTTCGGTAATTGAGGGTGAACCCCCTCACTTTACACACCGTTTGGTTCCCACTTTTGTCCGGTTTGTGTAGTCGGTACACGTAATTCTTCGGTCCTCCCAATACGAAATGTGTGATGTAATTATCCACGAGTTATTTCTCTCGTCAAATCTCTGAGATAATCACCCGTTGGTGGATCCCATTCTCCAGCTCGCTGGATGTAAATGATAGAATCTGTGTCAAAGTACAGGACTGTACTACCTAATTTCTCCAGAACACTGTAGAGTTTAAGTCGGGCATAGCTCGTTGTCATGGCAGCCAGTACAACGTTCGTATTGGATATTGCTTTGTAATTTAATGTAGTCTTCTTTATCGCAGTGCTGGACAAGAACCATTTTGTCAGAGACAATAAAAAGATCTGTGACATACTTTGTACTATCCATCAACATTTCCAACAGTTTGGCGGCCGTTTCTACATACGTGCTCTGTCCAAAGTTTGATCTCTGTCCCGGCTTTCCCCAGAATGAGTTGAGGTTTAGCTTGGCGAGAGCTCTGAAGCCTGGATTTGGGGTTATCTTGCTTCTGTCCAAGACGATACCTTCTCTTTCACGGTATCTTTGGATGTACATGGTTCGGTCTTCGTCGGTGCGACACCACTCGGGATAACTGGAAGACTCTTGT